GAAAATCGAATGGGCCGAAGAAAATTGACCGTTCGACTGGAGACTACATACCGCATGGTGAGCTTGCAAATGACCACGCTGTCAAAGAAACAATGCCGAAGAAGCAACACCGAATTACGAAGCAAAGAAACGAGAAGAAAAAGCAATGAAACACCGAAATGTAATTGAACAACAGTAGAGCAGAAATAAAAAAAAACAAAAAAAAAACAAATTGTTACTTAAATTGCTCGTTGAACCCTTTTCTCTTTCTTTCACATTCTCTCGATTCAAAATTGAACGCGCTCAGTTCCAGTCGATGGCGTTCTGTGTGCGTGCCGTTTTTTACGATTTTTTCAATTTGGGAAAGATATTTATTGTGTGTATGCTCGTTTCTTTTCTTGCTACTGCCGATTTGGTTCGTGTGTGTTCTGAAATTTGTACGCTATTCTCTCGATCATGAACGGAAACTAGTGTTTCTTCAGACTTTAGTTTAGAAGCAATTTTTTTTAGTTACTTCGAAGAAGAAAAAAATTGGTTGTCGAGCCGGTTTGCCAATTGGAGTTGAGAATTTGCTCGATGAATCGCTTTGAATGGCTTTGAATTGCTTCCATCGAAGGAGAGATAGAGAGAGACATATAGAAAGAAAGGGAGAGAGAAGAGAGGAATAGCGGAAGAGTGAGAAAGAAAGAACTAGTGAAGAAAAAATTCTAATGTAAGTTTTGATGGAATCGGTAGGTGAGACGTGAGAGAATCTTGAATTTATTTTCGACTTTTTGATTAACCCGAAGAATTAATTTTTAAAAGATGAATCATTCAATGAATAGGATAAAAATCACGAAAAAGGAAAAGCATCCATTGAATAAAGCTCAATACGAGACATTTCTGAGTAAAACCTGAGGGAATTTCCATGTGAGACTCAAGAAAATGCCAGACTCAAGACATTGCTGAAGTAAGAGGGAGGAAAACTTGACTTTCCTATTCATTTACATAGTTTTATATATTTTTTCCATGGAGATAATAATGAGGTGAATCGATTCGGGTGTCGGGACTATAAAACTTATCGTGTCTAATCTAAGGAGGAAGTCGAAATCTCAATTATAATTCAAAAGAAGATTCCTCAGAGAAAGAAAGTCAAAATCTTGACTTTAATCTAAGAAGGTAAATCAAAGACTTGACTAGTTGAAAGCCTAAAATTTGTATCAAACTAACAGCATTCACATTTTCTTTTCGCTGGAAGGAAAACCCATCGACATTTCGGTTAAGCGAAATAAACTCGACCAAGCTCGTAATGTACATGTATGCAAAATTGAGCAATGAACGGCATTTTAAATAACACACCGTCAACATACACCGTTCACAATGAGCAGGAAGACGTCACCCGTAATAACAATGTTCTTTGTTTTGTTTCGTGTGGAACAAAACCCCAAATTAAAAAAAAAAAAACTGTACGAGCGATTACAATAGAGGTACATGACTAAGATAATTGAGAGGGAAAGAGATGGCGAGTGAGAGTGATAGAGCGAGACCGAGATAGAGATTGAGAACGAGAGAGCGAGAGAAAAGATACACCTGTGTTCACATAAGCACAAAACAAGGTCCCATCGATATTCATATAATTTTTTTTTCATTCTTCCTCTCTCTACTTAAACACACTGACATGAGTTGGATTATGATTTGTGAATAATGAAGTGCTTCTCAAAATATCCACTACAATCAATGAAACGTGCATGTGCCGTCCGTCCGTCGTTTGATAATAATCGTCTTATTGCTAAGCAATTACTCGACAAATATTCATTTGTGGAATGAAGTAAATCGATGATCAAGAGGAGAAAAAATCACGGCGTAAAACGTTTTTTTTTTTACTAACGAACTTGAAAAAGAGACACATACAGTGTATGTCATACACAATACCAAAAACGGTGGATGAGATCGAAAAAGCAACAATTTCGTCAACGAGATAAAATACAAATAAATCGTGAAATGTCAATGAGAGACAACGACAACGACGACGACAGCGATTGTTCACAAAAATTACAGGTAAAAATTTAGCTGTACACAGAAAATCAGCTATTCGTTTCACGGTTGAGCCGATCTAAAGGCAGCGAGAAATGAACACACCGACAAAAATGAGAGAAAAAAACTAAAAGCTAATGCATTAAACACCATCATTCGGTACACATACCGAGCACATCAAAGAAGAAGAAGTAGACTCAAACACACGGCGTACACAATCGAACAACAGCGGAACCGAATAACGATCATCACACACCACATCTCGTTCACTTCTCACACTCACACTTAGAAGCTTCTCAGGTGGTTTATTATTGTTTTGTGAATCACGTCGAGCGAGCAAGCGAGAGAGAGTGCACGCAATTGCCTATTTGATGTTGTGTATAAAAAATTGGTTTTTCTTTTGATTCAAGTGAAATGTTCCATACCTTATTCGTGCAGAGCTGTGATTGTTGTTTATTTCTTTTTCTCGTTCAGTGGTGGTTGTTGTTGAAAGAAATATGATTGCAGGCCCGAAAAAATCGAACAACGACAATGACAACAACAACAACAAATTTGACAACAAAATCACATAAACTGACCTCGACCAAATCAACAAAATCACAATTTGTCTTGTTTGACAATAATTTTGCGTTTGTTTTTATATTTCTCTTTGCTATTTTTTCTTCTCTCTCTCTCTCTCTCTCTCTCTCTCTTTCCTTTTTTGCACATGTAAATAGCAGATTCAGAGTGACACACAATTTATTCGCGTTTAAAACACACACGATTGATAGCGATATATATATGTAAAATAAAACGGAGAAATAATAAAACTAAACACACGGAGGAGAGCACAAAAACGAAAAAGCGATCGTGTCACGAGACGATTGCACACACAACTGACGAGCCACAACTTGAAAGTTGGACACAGATTGAATCGATGCGATTTTTTCGGTGAGTGTTGTTGTCTGTCGGTGTGTGTGTGTGAATATATCGGAAAGCCGAAATTTACGTACACAGTGAAGAAACGGAGAATGTGAAGCAACGTAATCAGGTCTCTAGCTGTATCGAGTGTCTTCGTTCGTGTGTATGCGGCACGCAAAGCGACAGCAACTAACATGCTTTAAAATTCAAAAACAACACACAAATTATACGTCATCGTTTTGTGTATATATCGAGCTATTCCAGCGTTTCTCTTTGCGCCCGTTTCGATTTGTGTACGTATGCATCGAAATCACACGGAATGGAAACACGGCGCTCGATTTCTCATAGGATAGGCATTTATATTTTTGTCATACCATCTGAATCCGATACACACACGGCCACTGTGTTTTTGCCTGCCTAGTTTCTTTGCTCGTTCACTTCTACCAACGTACGTTGCAATGCCGCATGCGGTTTTGTGCAATTTCACACAGCCAATGTGTCGGCATTCACAGTGTTTTGTGTTGTGCAAGCACCGTAAAGCCTATGCGGATAAAACGTTTGAGGTGTGTATGTGTGCTTGTGTTTGTGTCCATGCATTGATCGCACATGCACACAAAACCAATTCCGATGAATACACACTGTCTACCTGTGCCACTGCGCTTTTCCATCCGCTGCATTCGCCGCACGCAGTCACAATTGCATTCTGCTTCTTCTTCTTTCTTCTTTCCCTCTGCTTTGGCTCGTTATGTTTACACACAACTACCTTTTTCAGTCGGAAGAAACTCATTTCTATTTGCATCAAAATACACATAATTCGTTTTTGAAATGAATATTTTCCTAACTTGTCTTCTGCTGAATTCATTTAATGAAAACAATCATTTGTTGTTGATGTTATGGTTTTGACTCTGGGTTCCATGTCAACCACCTGATTTACTTTTCTTTTTATGCCACACAATTTGTTACGTTGTTGTTTTTTTAACGTTAAGATTTGTTAATTCAATAAATAAATGCCTTTAAATTGGTGTCGCTTTGGCTTTAAACGGGAACTCGGATCTCTCTTCGATTTTAAATTGAGTTTTTGACTTTGAAGTCAAAGAAGCTAGTCTTTGAAAAAAAGAATCTTTTCACTGTTGAATTGAGAAAACATTTTTGCAGCAAAACATAACCAGAAACGTGCTCAAATCCAAAAATAAAATTAGGAAAACGCAAAAAACATGCTTGCAAATATGAAACCAGCCAATCCCCGGCTGTAAAACATTCAAAATAGCGGCTTATGTGTGACTTTGACCAAACACAATTGCCATAGTGAAGAGAGCAACGCTTATGTGCTCAGGTCATGTCAACGATTGTGCAACGCCCCAATGAACCGACCATCGAGTTGAGTATGTCTGTGTATTGTTTCGCTACAAAAAACCATTTTTGACTTTTGTCTTGTCCTCCTCCTCCTCTTCTTCTTCTTCTTCGTTTCTATTCGTAAACGCCATAACATTGTTTGACATTTAAAAAAAAACCTGTTTCGGCTTTGGAATTTCCATGAAAGCATGTACATTCGCACAAAGACTAATTGACTACCGATTTATCTTTGCTGTACACACACACTTTTTTCTTTGACATCATAGACAATTAATATACTTCTGGCGTCGTTGCATTGAAACATAACATCTTTGTTTGATGGAATAATGAACATTTTGTGAATGAAAGTCGTTTTGGTGATTTTTCTCATGAAAATATTTTTCCAGTTTTTCTTAGGCTGATGAAATGTGTTCGATAAGAAGGAAAAAATATATAATTTATGGAAGTTTTAGAAGATTGAACCATTGAAAGAGATTTTCCAGAAGAATTTCAACAGAATATTTCTTCGAAGTTTTGATTTTTCCTCAAAAAGAAATTCAAACTCCTTTTTCTTACTCTTCTCAGACTGAGTACTATTGAACGTAATCTACAGAATCAAAAAGAAAGAAGTTCAAAACTGGTCCAATTCAAAAGCCACCCAAATATTTTGTCCGTTGGAATAAAATCGAATTTGAATTGAACCGCTTCACGTGTAAGTCAAAAAGTCTTACACAAAACGAGTGGCGCTGTACTTCACATGACAGTTTGCCGAGTCAAAAAGACAAAATAAAAAGCCTAACCTCACAAAATTGTGTTGAAATCGGTTGATTGCAGGGGAATTGTTGTTATTTAGATATTTATTGGTCAAATGTGAGAGTTGATCAAAACTTGAATTGAACCATTAGAAATGCGTGGCTTATCGGCTCTGGTGAAGCCGATCAATGCTTGCCAGAAATGGATCGTGCCTGCGGGTATCACACATTTCAGCACAAAAGCACAAGTAATTTGAAGAAGTTTTGTTTAATCTAAAACGACCGAGCCAGAGTAAAGTGACTGCCGGATAGTGTGAAATTAAAAAAAAGGTTTTTCCACTGTTATTTAATTGTGTTTGTTCTTTTTGCCAGCCAAAGCAATGGCCACGGAAAATAATCTCGGGCATTCAGCCGACCGGAGTGTTGCATATTGGTAATTATTTTGGTGCGGTTCAACGATGGGTACAAATGCAAGAGAGCGGCGAAAATGTAATAATCTTCCTAGCTGACTTACATTCCATGACCATGCCCTATGTGAGTTTTATAGACTTATTTCCTGCCGAGCTTCAAAGAGCTCAAAAAGAGCACAGAAAGAGTTTTCATGTGATGACCTTGTATTGATTTTCAGGAACCAGCCCAATTACGTGAGAATATTTATGAATTAACTGCAACACTGTTGGCTTGTGGCATTGACACAAAGAAAACACCAATTTTCCTCCAATCCACCATACCACAACATGCTGAACTCTGCTGGATACTGAGTTGTCTGTGCACAATGTTGCGATTGTCACACTTGCCACAGTTTAAAGAGAAGTCAGCTGAAGTGAAGGACATTTATACTGGCCTGTTTATGTATCCAGTTTTGCAAGCGGCCGATATTTTGATGCACAAGTAATGTTGCCTGTTGGTTTGAATCATTTTCTATTCGAACTTGATTACATTCAATTGAAAACCCCACTGAAAAATCCATTAAAAATCATTTCCTTCTTTCCAGAGCTACTCATGTTCCATGTGGAGAAGATCAACTGCAGCAGCTCCAATTGGCTGCCCACTTGGCCAAAGTATTCAATACAAAATTCGGTGAAACATTCCCAATAATCGAACCGATGATTGGACAAGATGCAAGTGGCCGAATTCGATCACTTCGTGATCCATCGAAAAAACAATCGAAATCCGATCCAAGTGACCAGAGTCGGATAATAATGCGTGATTCACCCGCTGCAATTCGCAAGAAAATCAAACGAGCGATCACCGACTTTACCTCCGAAGTGACGTACGATCCGGAAAATCGGCCGGGTGTCTCAAACTTAGTTGGCATTCATGCTCTAGTCAAAAATGTGAGTCCGCAGGAAATTTGCGATCAGTCCAAAGAACTCGACACGGGGAAGTAAGTCGCTTTTTTGTCATTTTTTTTTTCTCGTAATGAGAATATTCTACTTTCTAAGAAGTTGCGTGAAATTTCCTTGGAAATTCGAAACAAAATTATTTCAATGTCGAATCAACATTGTCGATTTAATGACAGCAATATCTTTTCTACGTCGATTAACTTGTTCATTCTCTTCAACATATCCAATTTCCAGGTACAAATTGGTGCTTGCAGAAGACTTGGTTAGCCTCTTGGATCCGATTCGATTGAAAATCGAGGATTACCTAAAGAACCGTGATTATTTGGATTCAGTGCTGAAGGAAGGTCGCGATGTTGCTGCACAAACGGCCGAAGCAACGATGAAAGAAGTAAAAAGTCGAATTGGTGTGAATATTTTGCAAAATTGTAGATAAGAAATTGAAAATTGAAAATTGTTTTAAAGAAATAAAAAAAACTCGTTACTGTTGATTGAAAGAAAGACGAAAAAGATAGTGATTATTTTATCTCTGTCGAAATTGTGCAAACACCTCCGAAAAACGTGAACTTGAGTCGAAAAGGAATATCCCATTTCAATTAGCATTTCAAGTACATCGACGGTCGATGTAAATCATACGGTGTATGATAAGAAATTTCAGAACGATTCCACAGCACAACACAAGCATCAGTCGTTGGGTCGGTTGGTTGAGCGCACACATATGGCATTAGTTTGACATTTGTTTGTCCACATGACATTAACGTATACACTCACACACTCATGCGTATACACATATTGAGCAAAAAAAAACTCTCTCTCACATCGACGAAACGTCAAAGTAAATTATTTCGCCCAATAGTCGACTAGCTGTTTAATCGACTGAATCTCTCGATTGTACTGCAATTTTCTTGTTTTTTTCTTTATTTTCCACTTTACGGGTACCAGTTCATTCATTTGGCCGTTGATCATCGGAATTGAAAGTAAATAATTCGTTGCAGAATGCAGAACAATTTGAGAAAGTTGGTGACAATCGGAGCTAAGGTTTGCAGCCATTCAATACTAATTGAGTTCTTTTACATTTCGTTTTTTTTCGCACATACATTCTTATCGTTATGCAATAGACACGACCTTAACCATAACCTCAATGGTCAAAAAATTCGCTTGATTTTTTTGTTTGTTCAAACACAAATTTATTTACAATTCCACTTTGGGATTGTATTTTTTGCCCGCATTTGATGGTACCATCACCCACCAATTTGGTGGTTATGTAATCAATATTTGCAATTTATCTCATGATTTGTTTCCTTTGATGTTGATTTTTATAGAGCTCAGTCGGATTCCGTAGCAATTTCGGTTTATTGGGAACGTTTGCCAATCGTGCGTATTCAACGCAACATGAAGCCGATTTGGTGGTGATCGGTTCAGGACCTGGTGGCTATGTTACTGCCATCAAAGCCGCTCAACTTGGATTCAAAGTGAGTTTTATCGGTGTCAAAATTAAAGAAATAGAAAAAAAATTACCGAATTGTTTTTTTCGCATTCAAATTATATAATTCGATTGCAATTGAATTTCAATTGACCACCGGTTTCAATGATGCGACAGACAAAACCATAAAATGAACGATGGAAAATGTTTTGTTTATTATAATCCACTGTTTTTCGTTTTGTACACAGACCATTAGCGTTGAAAAAGAGGCAACATTGGGTGGAACCTGCTTGAACGTTGGCTGCATCCCATCAAAGGCTTTGTTGAACAATTCCCACTACTATCATATGGCCCATTCGGGCGAACTCGCCAGCCGTGGTATCAACGTAAACAACGTTGAACTCGATTTGGAGAAAATGATGGGCGAAAAATCGAAAGCTGTCAAAGCATTGACCGGCGGTATTGCACAGCTGTTCAAAAAGAATAAAGTCGATGTGGTACGTGGACACGGCACAATCACCTCACCAAATGAAGTTTCAGTACAAACCGAGGGTGGCGTTGAAACGATTCGCACACAAAATATCATCATTGCAACCGGTTCAGAGGTCACACCATTCCCGGGCATTGAAATCGATGAAGAACGCATTGTGTCCAGCACTGGCGCTCTTAAATTGAGTGAAGTACCGAAAAGTAAGTGAATGGAGAAATGGGCTAAAATATAGGGATCTAGAGTGGTATTCCCTGATTAGCATTCATCGTCGACTTGAGTTATTTTAATTTTGTTTTCATTTTTATGATAAGTACGTTCAATCGACCAGTTTTTGTTCACAACAACTTTCACTCTTCTTTTTTTATTTATCTCATATTTCAAATGATGCCATTTTTTCGTATTTTTTCATTCATTCACCCCGTTTTCCGTTGTTATCTATTGAGTTGAAGGATTGTTTTGCTTCGGTTGATTAATCGCAATCGATTGTTTCTTTCAGATATGTTGGTCATTGGCGCTGGTGTCATTGGCTTGGAATTGGGTTCAGTGTGGTCACGTTTAGGTGCCGAAGTAACAGCTGTTGATTTTCTTGATGTTATTGGCGGTGTTGGCATGGACGCTGAAGTATCAAAATCATTCCAGAAAATCTTAGGCAAACAAGGACTTAAATTTAAATTGGGGTAAGATTGGCGTTACTCGGTTCATATTATTCGGTTACAATTGCTTTACTCTTTGCAAATTTTAACAACATTTTGCACAATGTTGACCATCTAATGATCTAATTATTATTATTGAACTTCAAAAATAATTGAATAGATTAAGCTAATTTAATGTTGCCAACAAATCGATTGGTTATTAAGCTATAAGTTTATCGATGAAATTCAATGAATTCGTTTTTGTTCCAGCTATAAAGTTACCGGAGCATCACGGCAAGGCGACTCAGTCACTGTTTCATTGGAAAAGAAAGACGGCAGCACCAAAGAAGATGTCACAGCCGATGTTGTTCTTGTGTCCGTTGGTCGTCGACCATATACACAAAACCTTGGATTGGAACAAGTTGGCATTGTTTTGGACGACAAAGGCCGAGTTCCAGTCAATGGCCGCTTCCAAACTATCGTACCCAGGTATTGAATTAATGCGATTTTTTTTCTCTTAAAGGGGTGAATGACATTCTGATCCACAGTTAGAGGACACATCACTTTTATTTTTTAACACACCGCCGAATTCGAACAACAGTTTCGATGATCATCCACAACTATTCATTTGCATTAAATTCCGAAGTTTTCAATCTTTACGAACAAAAAATCTTCCCAGCTACTAGATACTAAAGACAAGCCAAATATATTCAATCAATAGCTTTTCAACTATCGATTATATTGCCATTTTTTCTCGAATTTTCTTCTGATTTTGGTGTGTAAATTGAATTGGTCATGATTGTACACCTGATTTTTTTGTGATAAGTCTTGCAATTTGCAAATGACTCAAATTTCAAACATTTTCATAAATTACACAATTTTAATACGTTTCCTTGATTCACTCAAGAACCAGTGGAAATTAATATACTAAAAAGATGAAAAAAAAACCATAAAATAATCCAAGCCCATTCGGTCAAAATTTTACTTAGATTCACAAAATTTTCTTTGAAAACAAAAAACAATGAAATTTCTGAAAAAAAAAAATTAAGCGAATTTTCTTTCAATCAATTCCAGCATCTATGCCATCGGTGATGTAATCCACGGTCCAATGCTTGCTCATAAAGCCGAAGACGAGGGAATTATCTGTGTTGAAGGTCTGAAAGGTGGTCACGTGCATATCGATTATAATTGCGTACCAAGCGTTGTTTACACACATCCAGAAGTCGCCTGGGTTGGCAAATCAGAAGAACAACTTAAAGCCGAAGGTGTCGAATACAAAATCGGCAAATTCCCATTCTTAGCCAATTCACGCGCCAAAACAAACAACGACACCGACGGTTTCGTTAAAGTGCTCGCTGACAAAGCCACCGACCGGATACTTGGAACACATTTGATTGGACCTGTAAGTGTTGTTTTGCCGTTTCTCTTCCCGCTGATTTTCTCCGATTTTAAAAATATTTCCGAATATTAATTGGATTTGTAAATATTTTCAGGGAGCTGGTGAACTAGTCAATGAAGCCGCTTTGGCCATGGAATACGGAGCATCGGCCGAAGATGTTGCTCGTGTCTGCCATGCACATCCGGTAAGTTTTTCGAAAATAAGAACTGAGTTTTTAAAACTTTAATCGCCTTAACTAGGCAACTTGCCTTCGATTTGAATTGGCTTGGTTAGAGAGGGTTTTTCGAAGAAATATTTCTTCAGATTTTTTAGATAGATTTTAATTTTGTTTTCTTTTCAAAAATCCATTTTTTGTCTAAAGTATAATTTTTTCAATTTTTTTTTGCTTTTTTCAATTTTTTCATTTTTTTAAAACTTTTTCGATTTCTATTTTGAGTGTTTCCGGCTTTTTTTCTTATTTTTATTTCTGTTTTTTTTTCAACTACCTTTTTCTTTTTGACCCATTTGAATTCAATTTTTCTTCGTTCATCATGAATATAATACTCATCTAATTTCTCCTTTATTTTTTTTCCATTCAGACCTGCGCTGAGGCATTGAGAGAGGCAAATCTCGCCGCATACTGCGGAAAACCAATCAACTTCTAGACGAAGCCAACCTTAACGTAATGAAAATAAAAAAAAAACTCACTTAAATTTAAACGACGAATAAACATGAAATAAATACCAGAAACAAACAAAACTTTGGTTACTGAAAACATGAATTTAACAAACAACAAAAATGGAAATGTGTGGCTTTGCGGAGCGCTGCATCCCAACGAATTTCTTTACAATGCAATACTGGTCGATTCCATTTTGTCGATTTATTCATTGCATCGTGAATATCTCGCATTTTATTTATTTTCCTAGTTTGAATGAATGAATAATGAAAAACAAAACGAAAGGAGACCCAGGCCCTTTGCATAGCTCATCGAATAACACATATTAGCGTTTGTATATACTATAGAGTTAAACTTATCGAAATAAAATAAAATCATCAAGTTGCACGTCCGATAGCATTTACACTTTTATTTGCATGTGCCCGTTACAAAAATTCACTTAACAAACGAGTATTAATGACTTACTATATACATAGAATTGACTATCCGGTTGTGTTTCAGAGACGAGATTCTTCTTCATTTTGTTGTTCGAGATTCTTCTTGTTAGATAAAGGGACGTTCTTGCGAACATTTTTTGACTCATTAAGGTAAATGCCATGTTGCTCACTCTTCAAGCATTTTGAAAATAATGATAAAAAGCGTTTAATGGGATATTAATTCTGTGACTCTTTCGCAGACTAGTTTTGTTTCGATTTGTCTGTAGCGCCCGCAGCAACTGCGGATTTGCTGGCTTTCTGCGACATCGGCAACGGTAGCATTTCGGTGAAAATCATTGTGCCGACGAAAACCAAGAACGTGCCAATCCAATGGCAAACGGTGAATGAATTATTGAAGTAAACAATGGAGAAGAGCAGTGATATGAATTTGCGTAGTGTGATGATTAGGGTGACGGTCAGTGAACTGCATTCCGTTGTTAGCAAAAACACTGAACTGATGCACAGATATTGTGTTAAACAATTTGCAAACAAGCAAATCCATAGAATCGGTATTGACACACCGATGACTGGAATCGCAACCGGTTCACTTGCATTCGCTATCGCCATATGCTCCGCAATATTGTTGTACAGCAATAGAAATCCAGGCAACGGCAACAAATGCTACAAAACAAAAACGGAATTAATGGTTAAAAATCCATTTTCAACAGAACGTTAGATTTTCCATGAAAAATGTTCAATTTTTTCGTGAGTGGAAACAACTTACGGTGATATAAAGCGCTTCTTGTGGATGCTTGCCATGGACTTTGTACAGAACCTCCACATAAATTCCCATTCGGGCTGAAAGGAACAATGCTAGCGTTAGCAACGAAAGGCCACACATCCACCAAAAAAACTCCGAATAGCCGCTCGTATCCTCTCTTCCTAAATTTGGATTTGCAGTGCTTTCCTGAAAGAGTAAATATCGTGTCAATTAGAATAAATTGCTGCTTTAAAATATGAATTTGGGAGATAATTGAAATTTTCCCCCCAAAATGTGGAAGAATCTTTTTTCTTCATCCATTTGTAATTATAATTTTCTCTACAACATTCAGCCAGAGTTTGGTGGCGACACAATAACTTAGAAGATACTCACAATACTGCTGCCAGAGACAAAGGTACAGACAATAATTCCCAATGTTATCATCAACACTGATAAATATTTCGAGAAATCATAACGTTTCCGCAGTATTACGATTCCCATTACCATATTTGCGATCAACGAGCCCTACAATTTCGAAATTGAACAGATTTTTAAAAGTTGAAGAAAAAGAATATTTTGAATGAAAGGATCATCGTCAAAATGGACAATAAACCATAAAAAAGTAGGGTGCAAAAGGCCACTGAAAGCTGTAGACACTATGTATTAAAATCGTACCGTCAGTCTACTCAGTTGCGGTGTTTTTTGTTTGTTTGTTTTTTTTTTGCAAAATTGAATAAACCAATTAAATAAAAAAAAAAACCAAAAAATGGAGAAATCGATTTGCCGAAAAACGGCAAAAAGTATGGAAAATATTGAAAATCAATAATTAAGTCGAAAACTCACCGCTCGAAAGATCATATGCAATGGCATCGGAATATTGAAATCTAAAGCGTAATTGTTACATACACTAGCAACAAAGAACATCACGACTAGAATGATATAATTTTGGTACCCGATTCGAAGTGGCTCTGTTCCGAATTTTGATGTGAAAATGAACCCCTCTAATGCGATGAACGCGAATTGGGCAAAAGTTACTAAATTTCCCAAACCAGGGTCCATCCTGTAATAAAATGACAGCAAAAGAGTACATCATTATTATTTATTTCAACGATTACAGACTTTACGTCGCCCATTCTTTGCCAATTATTTGAAAAATCCAACATTTTGTATGAATAATTGAAAAATAATGGAAAGTGGGAGGAGTTGAGACCAAACAACAGAGTCACGTGAAATCAATATTGTCCCAAAAACCTTAATAAGAATTTTTTTTACTAGCAACACAAATATTTTTGTTCAATTCAAGTTGAAAAAGTGGATAAATGTTATTTATAATATATATATCAAACTGATATTTTTAGTGACACCAAGAACGATGGTCGAGTGATACTTATTGTAAGAAATTTTTCAATGATAATTTCTGCGTCACCGAATAAAAAAAATTATTATTGATCAACAAGAATGAACATGAATTCAATAAATTTTCTTAATTTTTGTCAAAAAAAAAAATTGAAAATGGCTGTAAAATAATTACAATTCCCAATCTTGATTGGGTATAGCTAAAAAGTTTACCTTCAGAAGCTATGCCTAAACTTGATAAAAGGTGGTTACATGGGAATCTCCCATACAGAAAAGAAATTTTTAGTTAAAACTGAATGTGTACTATGAGCACCAAAAAGCAATTGTTCAGCACCAAACACAATAAAATCAAATGAGTTAGACTTACTTGACCATATATTCAAGAATAACGACATTGGCGCAGCATCCAAGGATTGTGCCCAGAATGGCGAGCGCCACTTTCATTGTGATACTAATTTAAACTTCCGAAACCATCCAAATTCGATTCTTTAGGTTGATTTAATTCACCTAAAATATGAAATTAGCAGATTTTATTGATATAATGTTTTTCTCTGTTCTTGTAAATTTCGCATTAATTCTCGTATTCTTCTTACATTTTTCAGAATTTGATGCATTTTCTATACATTCACTAATTTTCTATATATATGCTAATTATATAATTTATATAATGAAATGTCGATATATAAATGATAACAATCAGTGTTTGCCACTTGTTTATTTCGATGGAAATTTGTGTATATGCAAAAAAAAATGGTTTATTTTACGGAGATAAATAAATAGCCGGTTGTCAAAATGTTATTGTGATAAAATAAGTGTCATCTATCGGAGTTGTATACACACACACACAAACACTGTATACAAATGCCAAGTTTTATAAGAAAATTGCCAACGTCAGTTGATTGCTTTGTGTTCAATTTGTTGTTGGTATTTTTCTTTTGATGTGTGATTCGATTCAGATTATCAGTTGAAAAATGTCGAACATTCCAAAAAAAAATATTGAATTGCTAGAAAATATTCGGGAAACGCTTTTTGCAAAAGAACTTTTCTCGAAATTATCAAAAATATTCGAAAAAATTCAACCATAAAATGAAAATAGTATCAAAAAATGCGCGTTTGTAACACAACCGAATGATGATATCAATGGATCCAATGGATGTGAAGTTGGTTGCAAATGCGACACATGCAAAAGAAACCTTTTCAACTTGACGCACGCACACACTCACACATGCACCACATGGACCCACACAAACGCACAAACCGAAAAAAAAGCAGTGAGTTTGACAGTAAGTTTTGATGGTATCAGTGTTGGCCCAATGTAGACACAAGACAGTGACGACAAGAGGAGCGAGAAAAAAAACAACTTCGTAATAACACAGTAACAGCAGCAGCAACAGCAGCAGCAAAAAAAATATATCTAAAATGGTGGTCATAATGGCACCTACTGCGAAACAATTCACATTCACCCGTGTGTGCAGCAGACAGTTTCGTTGATTTTCGGTGATTTCCAATATTCCTGAAGTGTATTCGCATAACAATAAAAAAAAATCGTGTTAAAATAGACAATTGAATTGGAAACTAACAACGACACGAACCAAAAAATACGGTGGAAAAAAAAAAATGGGAAAATGCATCACAACTCGAAATAGACAGACTTTGACTGTTAAACAGCAGCGATAGTAAATAAGCAGAGTTCTTCTTTTTTTTCTTCTCTGTGACAAAAACAAAGGATCGACTGAGTTTAAGTGAATCATTTTTTTTGGCGTATGTAAAACGAGCAACAACAAAAAATAGACCGAAGAAAAACGAACGGAAAGAAAAGATGTTGGTTTTCAAACTGAGTTCGTTGTTGCGAGGCCAAACGATACTCGAACACCGTCGACGCAAATAATAATGCAAGTGCAACCGTGGCCAAAAAGCTGACATACAATTAAGACAATTTCGATATACATATTCGGCGAGAGCGAGAGCGAGAGCGGCGCCAGCAGCTTTGTGTATTTTAGTTCATAGTTTAGTTTAATTTTTTTAGTTTTTCTTTCCTTTTTCGTCGGTTTTATTTTTTCTTCGGTCGTTGATTTTCATTTTCCAACCTAAAATCAATCAATTCATACGAGAGACGGCCGCAACAGAGTGTGTGAAAAATGATAAATTTTGGTAATAATATGATGCATGCGGATCAATTTCGCAAGATGGAAACATACTCACCGAAATCGTCACCGCGCGGCGGACGATCGCCGATCGTATCGCGCCAAGATTCATCCGGCACTCTGAAAATGAACATTTCACTTGGCAAAATTCCATCGATCGTACACAGCGGACCATTCTATCTAATGAAAGATCCACCAGGTAATTATTTATTGGCCACATTATGTGTGTACGTGCGTGTTTGGATGTCTGTGTTGGATGTTAACACATGAAACACGCACTTTTATAACCTAATTTATTGAAAATTCACTACGGAAAATATTGTTGCAATCGTTTCGAAAGTGCAGCGAAACCATATCATTGCCCGACCGATGTAAACAATACCATCATGTCATCAAATGACATGCATTCAAAGCGTTTAAACGGTATGATTTGATTCAATGCACATTTTCTTTCAAATGATTTACATGTAGCTGTGCTCATTTGGTGACATTTTTCGCGTAAACGATTGCTCTTTCAAAGTATGAGTAACTCTTTTTTTGAAGAAAGGAAATGAGAAATTTTTTCATTTTATTTTTATCGGCGAATTACGAGCAAATTTTAGATGTAAATAGTGGATTTTTTATCAGTTCAGAATTTATTTTTGTAGCGACATTTTTTCCACGAATAATTCAACTTTAAACATGAGTTACGGTTTGATTTTTCTTATTTGGCTCGACGTTTGTTGGTTTAATCTTTCCAAACCGAATCGAAAATCAAAAATCTCATTTTTACGATTTTCTTGATATAAAAAAATCATACAAAATTGGGCAAATTTATTTACGCTCTGCACAAATCAATAATAAAAATTGTTGGGCAATATTTTTAGTATTCAGCATGAACAAAAAAATCATTTCAAAATTCTAGCAAATTCCTAACCATTTTTTAATTTCTCTTCGAATTGAACAGGTGGAAGTGAATTGACGGGTGCAACAAATTTAATGGCATATTATGGATTAGAACACTCATATAGTAAATTTAGTGGGAAAAAAGTGAAGGAGCAATTGTCGTCATTTTTACCAAATCTCCCGGGTGTTATCGACGGTCCCGGCCAAATCGTAAGTATTTACTTTGGATGAAAGTTTGTTTTTCTTTTCTTCGCATTATACTGTTGTATTGTGCCAACTATGTGTAGGTTTGGATCTTGAATGGAGTTTTTATCAAGTTTACAAGTAGAAGATTAAATTCTAAAAAATTTCATTATCGCAAATCAACGTATTTTCCACTGAACATTGAACATTTTGATACGGAAAATATTTTGTAAATCGAATATCGTCGAAATATTCGAAAAATGAGAAATTGCGTAGAAAATGAGTCAAGTTTTCTTTTGTAAAACTCTTAAACTGGGCCAAAATTGGACCAAAGTCGTCTTTAATAAAGACTTGATTAAATTTTCTGGTTAAAAAAAACAAGCCCCGGATAGGGAATGCTTCTGTGTTTCTATTACATAAGAGTATGCTGTCCGTCCGGGGCGTTATGACCGCCAATCATTAAAAACTTATAAATTTCATTCCATTTCCAATAGAATCCTTCAGTCTCAAACATCATTGATTTTGAATGACTGCAAATGACCACATACGAAAAATTTAAGAAAAAAATTTCTCTCAAAAACTGTATTTAAAAACATTCAATTTTGCCTTAAATTTCTCTCTAAAATTTCGCCTTTTCTCTAAAAATGTTCACTTTTTCTGAAACGTTCATTTCCATCTACTTTTTTTTGAACTATAACTAATCTCTTCCCTCTTTCTCTCTACTTTCTAGGATAATAGTTCATTGCGTAGTGTAATTGAGAAGCCGCCGATTGGTGGGAAGGAGCTGTTGCCGTTGACAAATGTACAGTTGGCTGGTTTTCGTTTGCATCCGGGTCCACTACCCGAGCAATATCGTTATTTGAATACAACACCGGTGCGAAAGCATAAAAAATACAAGAAACATCGTCATAAGGATAGTTCAGTGCCAATGCCAGCGATGCAAACGGATTTAGTAGCTGAGCCACATGAAAAGAAGCATAAAAAGCAAAAGCGTCACGAAGACGATAAATCGGAGCGAAAAAAGCGCAAGAAGGAAAAGAAACGAAAGAAACAGCGCCATACGCCCGAGCCACCTGCCACAACGGTGATCAGCAACAGTATCATCGGATCGAACAATCCAAGTGGTGTGCCCAGTTTCCCTGGACCACCAACCGGATCATTTTGATCATTCGCCTAAACGAACAATTTATGTGTAATTAAAAAACAAAAATCCATTGTGTACATAAGGAAACCAGAACCCGCGTCTAGCTCTCACAAACTTACATACCCACAAATACAACAACACATTCAATTCCATGGTAGTTACTCACATGCAGCTTCCCAAACGATTCAAATCGAATGGAAAACTTAAATTTTGCATCTCCTCCGCAATTTTTAAGTGAACACTCACCTCCCTCCTCCTCTCAGAACAATGAATTCAACACATCCATTCACACACATAACCCAACCTAAGAATCTATTCACACAAAAACCCAAACCCAAGAGGAGAGGAAAAAAAACGGAAAAATAACTCCATTTGTTATTAGACTAGCAATCTTTAAGATAAACTGAAATCAATTTTCGTATCGAAAGGACAACAACAACAAATTATTATTTATAACGAAAGGAAAAATACAATAAAAAGTATAAGACTCTACAAATGAAAAATAAAGCGTTTTCTTAATTTTGCGACGGAAAATATGTTTGGAAAGTGGTTGGCAAAAAGAACCAAAAGAGAGAAGGAAACAACAGAACAAAGGGAGAAAAGACAGTAAAATGTCTCTAAATTGCAGGTAAATGCCACATAATTGCAGTAAGAAGTTAACGAAATCTCCAAATTCAGAGAAGAAATAAACATTTGAGCATTGCAAAAAGTCAACCGCCAAAAAAAATCCAATTAAAATTGCACCACTCTCCAGACAAACTCGTTGCGTAATTCAAATGTAACGAAAATTTCGGAGCTTTTGTTCAAAAGCAGTTGAACATTCGGATGATGGCGTTGATGAGGTTACGTTTTGACATTTACACATCGTCGGTCAAAACCATTGCAAACTGCATGACAGTTTCATCTGTCAAAGTGGCGTATTTTTTGTTGAGACTTCACATAGAATCGAGTACACATTAGGCATATTTTTTTTATGTATTTGGTTAAGCATTGCTCTTAGTTTTTGTTTTTGTTGATAAAAACCACTTAAGACTTTAATTCGGCAGAATCTGTTCGTTATGGATCCGAAAGAGCAAAAAAAGAAGAATAAAAAGGAAAAACGGGATGCGAAAAGGGAGGAAATGCAATATTTCCGAAAACAATTGGACCAACTGGCCACCGATGAGAAACGAGATCAGCTTGCATTCCCGCCAACATTGCACAGTGGCCAACGAAAGCAGCTCCATTCGTACGCACATACACTTGGCCTGAAATCGAAATCCAATGGAAAAGGTAAATGTTGTCGTTGAAGAAAATAACAAATTGTTGACATCATCAACACGATTGTATTTCATCATCGAATGCAACTATTTCGTTAATTTATTGACAGGTGACAATCGGTTTTTGATTGTTTACAAAAAGAATGTGGCACCATGTTTACCGACGGCTGATAGTAATGCGACATATTTACGACTCACCAATAATACGGTTGACAAATTGGTGGAATTATTTGCCAATGATCCGGTTAGTGATGTTGAGAAAGAAAACACCGTTTTTCGGTCGACGGACGGCCAAAGCCATGCACATCTGCCATTTATGTTTGGTGATTCGCGGTCAAAAGCCCGTGTTACTGTTCCACCGATTACACGTACCACCAACGAATACACAGCCACTCGACAAAGTCTTCCCATTTTTGAGTATCGAGACGAAATTTTGGGCGCCATCAATCAACACCAGGTCGTGGTCATATCGGGCGAAACAGGTTTGTTGACGTATTGGAATTAATTTGGGCTTTTGAGTTATTCCAACTGGGTTGACTGGGATTTTGAGGCGCTTGTTGAGTTTTTGAATTATTTTTTTTGGAATTTTTTTTTCTTACGAAATTTCCCAAGAAATGACACATCAATGTGCCGACTCATGCTATTCATTATCGAATCAATCTAACCTTGAAACTTTAAGTTTTCTTAAAAATATTCTTCGTTAGTGCCATGATTGTGTTCAGAACACATTAATTGTGCACATTTTCAAACATAAAATGTCTGAAGATTTTCAATGAATTTTTCCACTCAAATCTGTCGTATGTTTTTTTTTTCAACAATAATGTGTTTTACGTAATTTTTAATTAGGATCCGGGAAAACGACGCAAGTTCCTCAGTATATTATGGAAGATTTCGCAGCTCGCCAGCAGGAATGCCGAATAATTTGTACACAGCCACGGCGATTGGCAACGACATCAATTGCCACACGTATTTCACAGGAAAGAAACGACACACTTGGCAGGTCCGTTGGTTATCAAATCCGTCTAGACAGCCGAATTTCACCAACGACAAATTTGATCTTTACTACGAGGTAACTTTCTTTCAATTCGATTGCATAAGATTTTTCCAGTTTTTTTTTGTTTCAGTCAAAACCATGAGTAAATGAGCGTACGGCATTGGGAATCGCGGCGGGAAAAGGATTCTACGATGTGTTGACTAAACTGTTGAGTTTCGGTGCGAATCCGTCATTGAAAGACCCACACGGTAAAATTGCATTGGACTATGCAGATGAAAATGAGCAAGAAGATTGCTGTGAACTGTTGGCACACTGTGCCACACACTATCAGAATTTCACACCAATCAAAGAGACGATTTTAGAAGATGACGGTGACAGTGAAGCTCAAGCAAAAGCCTGGCAACAATTCAAATTGATTGCATACAAAATGACATCCGGCGCATTGATGAAATCGAATGACATCGATCACGAGCTACTTCAGCATGTTCTCATGCACATTCACACCGTGAAGCCGCTCGATGGCAGCATCCTTGTCTTCTTGCCCGGCTATGAAGATATTATGGTGCAAAAAGACATGATCGAATCTCGATTCCACATAACTAACTATCAACTGTTTGTGTTGCACAGCGGTGTCAATGGAACCAGCAATGCGGAACAGACGAGAGTCTTCGATCGAATGCCAACTGGCATACGGAAAATCATTCTCTCTACGAATATCGCCGAAACATCGCTTACCATCAACGATGTGGTGAGTTTTGGAATTGAGCTTTTTTTTAAATTGGAAAATAAAACGAAGAATTTTGGACAGAGATCGTTTGATTTTTTTCAAAGAATTTTTGAAATTTTTTAAATTCATTTTGTCACTTAAAGCTCCACCGAAGTTTCAATTTTTTCAATCAACATCAATTTTGAACGTCTCAATTCTCAATCAAAATTGTTTTTTTATCCACATAATTTCATTAACCTAGGTCTATGTGGTCGATGCGGGTAAAGTAAAGCAGCTAAGTTACGATTCAATCGGCGAATCAACATGTTTGACATCGACGGACATATCGCAAGCGTGTGCCAAACAACGTGCCGGCCGAGCTGGCCGAATTCGCAACGGATTTTGCTACCGTTTGTACTCAGTGGAGCAATATGAAGCAATGGAAAAGTATACGTTGCCCGAAATTCTTCGGGTTCCACTCACGGAAATCTGTCTCAACGCGAAAATGTTGGCGGGTGATTTATCAATTGAAGAATTTTTGGTGAAAGCCTTGCAGCCGCCGTCGGTGAAAAATATTCGCCAAAGCATCGAATTGCTGAAGAAGATCAACGCATTGGATGACAAGGAAAACATTACGTATTTGGGCATCCATTTGGTAGGTTCCGAAAATTAATTACCTTCTCTGTATTTCTGATGAAGAATTTCTGAGAAAAAAAATCGTTCTTAAAATTCCTAGGCCAATATGCCAGTGGATTGTCAACTAGGCAAAATGATTTTATACGCAATCATGATGCGCTGTCTGGATCCGGTGGTGACAATCGTCAGTGCGTTGTCGGTTAAGGATCCGTTTATGTTACCTCTCGGCAACGAAGGCGAAAAAATCAGCGGGATAAAGAAAGGATTCGCGCGAAATTCATTGAGTGACCATCAAATGCTGTTGAACACATTCAACGAATGGTCGGCTCAAAAGAAGAAGCAATATGAGTTTTGCCACGAAAATTTCATTTCGTACGGTAACATGCAAATGATTCAAGGTGTTCGCCGCCTGATAATGGGCCACTTGAAGATGGCCGAATTCGTGTGCGAAAACTCAGCTCGCAACATCAAGAAATTGAATGAAAACTCATTGCGTTGGGAAATAGTAAAGGTATGCCTAACGGCCGGCATGTATCCAAATGTGTGTCGTATCAATACAATGGCGGGTAAAATCTTTTCGAAACAAGACAATAAACTATCGCCACATATGTCGTCAATTTTGCGTGAGCGTCGAGCCCGGGGCCAAATCGATCGCACCATATTGGATGCGGACGCCAAATGGATGGTTCATGGTGAAAAATCGCGTGTCACTCATTTATGCCTGATTCGAAATATCACCGTTATCCCAGCTATTGATGTGGCCCTGTTCGCCGGACCGATTAATTTGCCGGAATCGAATCTGGTGTCGCCTCGAGAGAACAAAAACGAAGTTTTGTCGGACATGGACTGTGATGATATTCCTCTGGAAGATGACATCGACAATGTCGATCTTGATGACGAACTCTTTGCACATGACGATGAATATAATTCCGATGCCGTGCTCAACATTGACGATTGGATCAGTTTTATCGTTGATGAAACCGAAGCATCGCTCTTGTTTCAATTGCGCCAAAAATTTGCGTCAATGTTTGTGAAATTTTTACGAAACCCGGTCTCATTTCATATGACCAACAAAGAAGCGGCCATGCTGAAGGTTTTACTTGAGGTGATTTGCGAGGAGGATGACATTGAACAGTTTGTGAAAGCAAAAGTTGCAGCCATTGAGGCCAAAGAAAAGGAAAACGAGAGTGATGGCGTTGTTGAAGTGCTGCAGCGGAATCAAGAGCAGCTGCGGAAGAATAACCGAAAGCCTATTCCAGATAGGCCATTCGGCCCGGCGATTACATCCGATATTTACACTCAAGCCATTGAACCCGGACATCGACGCAATCGAAAGAAGAAGAAAAACTATAAAATGGCATCACCGAAGAAAAATTTTGATTGGCGACGCAACGATGACCCGCCGATAGATTGGGCTCGCGATGGACCTGACTATCGGTCAACAGTGGCACAAGGGTCAAACTCAACTGATTCCAGTTCAGCACAGTATCCAAGGGTGAACCCACAGCAACGATTGACACAAGGCCAATTCAATAAATTGAATGCACCCTTTTCAGCACCTTCATTTCTACTGAATACACCATCGCTGCAAGATTTCAACGTTCCAAGCGTATCGAGGATAGCACCAAATCTAGCATCCATGAATGATCTTATTCAAAATCGATACTTTGTACTCACGGTAAATATTTTTTCAAGGAATTTATTGAGATATGAAGAAAGTTTTCAAAGAAAAAATAGAAATGAGTTCGAAAAAAAATTCGAGAGGAAATTTCAAGTGTAAAATTCATTTTTGTTTTTGTGTTGCTAAAATGTAACATTTTTTGAAAATTGATTTAAAAACGATTGTTCAGCGATTGAAAAAAATCGATTTTCAAACTCAAAACTAACGATTTATTCCATTTTGAAGGTGAAAGATGTCGGTCAGATTTATGCGAGTGTTTATCAGCGTCATTGGAAATTCCGTACACCATTGCATCATTTGAAGAAAGCGGCACGTGAATCGGCGCCAGCAAAAATCATTTTGCTTCTCCACGTTCAGAAGAAATCGGCCATTTTTGGCATTTGCCAATTCCAAACACGAAGCTCAGGCAATTATCACATCGTCAACATCGACAAAACTCAACACTTCAGACCATTGATGTTATTACTATTTATACTTACTTTACTGAACTTTTGAATTTTTTTTACAATATTTGGTAATGTTTTCACGAACAACAAAAAAGCGATTCGAATCGATGAAGAGAAAAATATCGATTTTTTTTTTTTGAATTAATTTCGACACAATTTTTAATATTTTTCTTAATTTTGTTTTATTTTCAGTCAATTTGATGCGAATGATGACTTTGAAATGGCACCTGAACAAGGAAATGAATTGTACAATCACTTTATTACCATGAACTAGTTGGAGTTTGGAAACTGAAAAATATACCAAAAAATCTCCCGATTTTGGATTTTGGCAAAATATAAAACACCATCATTTCACCAATGTGATTCTTTTCGAATTAAGTTAAAAATTTACCATCATTAGATTTAATGTCAAAGTTAGTTCATTAGATTTAATGGTTGAAAGGCAAAATTGTTTAGAAACAAAGAAAAATTGTTTGAAATATTGTTCGAAAAAAAATCACAAAATTGAAAATAAAAAATAGAAAAAAGAATAAATAAAAGAAATGGTGTCTCAACACAAAGTTGAGTTCTAAAGGCAAATGTTGTAATTTTTCCTTCATTTTTATATTTTATAATTTCGTTTCAAATTATAGTGTAGCGAGTCATGCCGAGAGTACAAGTTGAATAAATAAAATTTCGCCAGCTCATTCTGTATACACTAGCAGGATATGTAATGTAAATTTCTTGTAGGAAATTTTATGACTATTTGATTTTATTGAAATTTCTTGAAAATCTCCAAAATTTTATTTTTATTAAATGATAAATTTGCGGAAAGAAGAAAATTCGGAGAATATTTAGATAAAATCAGTGATTGAAATAAGAAAATTCCAGAACATCGGTTAAAAAAACTATTGATAATTCCAGCACCAAAAAGTCAGGAGAAGTTAAGCACCAATCTTTTCTTGAAAAATAAATGGTTTTCTTTTAAGAAGAACTTGAAAGTTTTTTTTTTTAAAAGAACAATTTCTTCATAGAAATTTTATATTCTAAAGTAAAAAAATTCAAAATTTTTAGTTCAAAATTTCAACTTTTCAAACCAATTTATTTATTGACAATATTCATTGATCCATTTTTTCAGTAAAAATTAATTATCAATTATTTCATTTTTTTGAAAAAATAATTTTATTTTCTCATTTTAAAATTTCATATTTTTCATACAAAAATTGCAACAAAAAAATTAAAATGTTTCGTTATCATTTGAAATGTTCAATTATTTGCAGAGATATTCAAAAGTGCTTCTGAGCTCACAACTCAATTCAACTTGTTTTTTATTCGACATCCAGAAATGTCTTACTTTTACTCAATTGCTGTATAATTGCTTTGAATGTAATGGCTTATTTGCATTATTGAAGAGAGTATTATTTGTTTGAAATTGTTTTTTTTTCTCTTGTTCTTGTCTGTTTTTTCTCCCTTGTTTTCTATTTTTTTGCCTTTTTTCTTCTTCTTCTTTTTTTTTTTTTTAAAATTTTCAAATTTATTTTTACATCACAATTTTCCGTTGAAGAAAAAATTCGTTTAAAAACATCTTTGTGTGCGGAAAAAAATGCTACAATCAATGAAAAGGTCGCATTTTCATTCATAACATTTGCTATAGAAACAGTCAACGTTCAAATGCAAACATGTGTGACTGCTGTGTGTGTGCGTCATTCTGTAAAACACAATCTGTATGTATGGAACTATCTATCTGTCAAACACACGTGAGTTTATCGTTGACAGTAGTTGTGTGTTTTTGACAGTTCCATGAAAATGTGTGCTATATCAATACAAAGTTCAAACGTCGGTTTTTTGTTATTTCCATAAGATTTTGTTGTTTTTATTCAATGTTATTGAAAAAGTAATTTAAGGTTTGATCAATGGAAAAATTAAAATAGATTGAATATTGTAAATTCGGTAGATTGAGTGTGTTTGAAAGATGTCAATTAATAGACTGGGTGCATTGAGATGTGCGATAAAGTCAAGTGTAAACTTGAGACTTCGACCAAATTTGTCAAGTTTTCGGCCAAATTACCGAACGATTGCTACAGATGGCAAGATTACAATCGATGGCATCACCAAAGAGCTTATAAAACCCAATAATCCTCTATTTGTACCGCAAAAATTCCGTAAGTAGTCACGTAGAAATGAGAAAAAAGTCAACATTACAAATTTGGTTAGAGAAATTGTGAAATCAAGTGTAATCTCAATGTATTCTCGAAATTCATCACATTCCGATGTTTGAAAAATATTTCTAGATTTCAATGAAGTAGATCAGATAGCGTGTGAGCCCCTTATTTAACCGCATTCTTTGTTATTACAAAATTTCAGTGCAATTATCGAAATCAGATCAAATTGTCATATCGCAGACAGTATTGCATCACCTGCGATGGATGTTGCAGAAGGATTTGCTGGGCCAAGACATATTCCTCATTGGCAGACCAGGCCCATTGAGAAGGGCAATAGTGATGCAATTTCTGGAACTCACACAACGGGAACTTGAGTACGTTGCCCTTAGTCGTGATACCACCGAAAGTGATTTAAAACAAAGGCGAGAAATTCAGAATGGAACAGCGGTTTATTTTGACCAGAGTGCCGTTCGAGCGGGTAATTTCTTTTAATCTCTTTAGATCAATATTCAATTTTTTCAACATAAATTGAAAACAAGGCAGGGCCAAAATGACTTGGAAATTCTCTGATACACGCACTAGTCCCCACTTGGTTAACTCATCAAGAGATAGCCAGAAGATATGGCTCTTTTTTACTCTTTCAAAGTCGTTGGCAGCGGCGTAGCCAGAGATGAATTTCAGGGGGGGGGGGGGGGGTTTGTGTGACTTGATTTTCAAGGGGGAGGTGCAATTTTTTTCCACAGGGTTGGAAAATGATTTTGGAGACACTATCTGTTGAAAATTCAATGAGATCATTAATGTAGCCGGGGAAATTGAATTTCATCTTGAAATTTCTCTTGCAGCTATTCATGGACGAGTTCTAGTGATTGAAGGAATTGAGAAAGCCGAGAGAAATGTGCTACCCGTCTTGAACAATTTGCTGGAAAATCGCGAAATGCACCTGGAAGATGGACGCTTTTTGATCCCGTCGAATAGATACGACAAATTGCTCAAGGTAAATTTGGAACACCAATTTGTTTCGAAATATCATTTTGCTTCATTTCCGTTGTGAAAAATGAACAATTTTGTTTTAAAGATATGAACAATAAGAATGGAAGAAATATAAAAAAAAATTAAATATTAAAATTGATCCAATTTTTGCAGGAGCACGGTTCAGATGAGTTAACCAAGTGGGGACTAGTGCGTGTATCAGAGAATTTCCGAGTCATTGCATTGGGATTACCAGTTCCAAAATATCGAGGCGTTCCACTTGATCCACCACTTCGAAGCAGATTCCAAGCCCGAGACATCACACCAGCTACTTACCAGGTGAGCGTCCGCGAAGCGACGTTAGTTGACAGTGATTCAATGCGTCGCAAAAGTCAAAATATTGTGACAAAAAGACTCAACTCTTAACAAACTCTTGAGGGAAATAAAAGTAGGTGCTTTCGAGTACGACCATTCCAGCTTTTCTCATCTGGCCTTGAATCATCAGAATGAATCTATTCAAATTTTATTTTCAAGGCCAATGTTCACCAAAAATCTATTCTGATTTGTTTTTTGATCTGTTCTATTCTGAATTTACAAACTCACTCGGGATTTTTTTGAAACATTTCTGATTTTTTTTTTTATTTAATTAATGATGACCTTCTCTCTATAGGGAGTATAAAGTGCAATTAATATTGCACCAAAAACATCGTCCAACTTTCCCTTAAAAGAAACCACCACCAATCTAAGATCAAATTGACTTTATTCAAGAAATGGTGCCCAAAAAAAAAAAATAAACAGTGCGATTACAAATAGGTTTAATATTCAAAATTACATTACAAGGAAGACGGAGGAGGATAAGTTATGTGTATCTTAGATTCTATATACTATGTCGAAGCAATTTTACAGCTGAAGCAACTATCATTATCTCTGGCCGATGTGGGTGATAGCAGTGAGGACACAGCATCACCTTCGTTCACAATGAGACACCGTTTCGGCAGATTTGGCATGAAAATATGCAATTGCCGTTTGGCCGCTTGCGTATTGCATGATGTTTCCAAAATTTGACGTTGAATTATCGAACGATACTGATCATCAAAGTATTCCAATCGTTTTGGTTTCGTTTTGCTAGAATGCTTGTGTGTGGATTTTTTCGCCGATTTCAATGGATATGTCGACTGTAAATCCAATGGTTCTAAACGATCCGAACTACTTTTCAGTCGACGAAGTGCCAGAAATTTTCGTGAGCATTTGTACGTAGCTGGAAATAGATCGATGAAGCTCAACGAGACAATTGGTTGGTTTAGGTTTTGTGTATCTTTTGTGGGTTGTTCATCATTGAAGGTCATCGACAGCTGTCGTATTGATTCACGTTTAACGGGTTTCGCTTTTTGTCCGTCCTCTTCGAGTTCGGTCGTTTTACGTGGTTCTTTTGCGGTGACTGAGCGTCGTTTGGAGGCGTTAAGCAATTTTCCAATGTGTTCACTTCGTCTGGCTGGTGATTGACCAAGTTGATCTCCGGCCAAGTCTAACCATTGTAACACCCGTTCCGCCAACAGATTCTTATTTGAATCAATTTCATTGGTAATACGTTTCATACTTGGCGTTGTCGGTGTTTCTTTGTGTATTTCCACGGGTTCGTTGGAACTGTCTTCGTCTGGCATATCAAGCGGTTCGAAAACAGATTTATCGATAAGAAAATCCATCATTTCAGAACGATCATCGAATGAACTAAACGCCCGATCACTTTGCACCCGATCCGACGATCCAATTATACTTAATGTACTCAATTTATTCTGCATTGCATCCAATGAGTGCGTTTTTTCTAATGTGAAACATGAATGAAATGGCCCACTTTGGAGCGATGATGGCGCTTCATTTCGGGCATTTGACAAATTGTAATCGAATATAAAGTGACGATGGCCACCATTTAAGGCACCCGATGCACTGATCGAATCAATCCACACACATTTCGGATGTAATGGACGTCGTGATGACTCCCAAATTGGCTGATGCGACTCCGATTTTATTGATGACATTTTGAACGAGTATGAATTCTTCTTCTCTTCCGTCTTCCACTTCTACTTGAAAAGGTTAAATTTTCTCAAAACCCAACTGTTTGTTTTGGTTCCATGTCAAAATGACATAGAAAAGCTTCGCAGAAGGTCATTTTTTTTCTTCTTCAAAAATTTAAATCACATTTACACATTTTCACTGTCAAACGGAAACTCGTTGAATTAGATTCGGTTTTCTGCAATGTAAACAAAGTTTTTGCTGTTCTTTCTATAGGTGCTTTTTGTATTTGATTCCAAAGCAAAGTCTGCATTTTCATGGAAAATTCGTCAGTTTTATGGGGAGTTTTTCATTTCTTTTGAGAATTTTTCATTTCTATCGATAAAAATTCATTTTTTTCGGAACTAACTTCATTTCTATAAATAAATCCTCGATTTTTCTTGGAAAAATGCTTCAATTCCACGAAAATAGCTTCAATCTCCCAAATGAAAATTCAATTTTAAAGACACGTCTTCAATTTTCAAAAAAACTTTGAAATGATTGCGACTAAATTTCCTTCATCTTCAACTGATTTTTTTTTACATGGACTATCGTTCACGAAACGTCTATACGATTGAAGCGTCGAAAACCAACTGATTTGATTCACAATTGCAATGTGGCACTCGAAATGATCTGGAACAATTTTCAATTTGCACCACATTCACATTCGTTTGCACTGCATCGACGTTTGTTTGTCGAAACTTCCACACATATTCGCCCTATTATAAACTTAATTGAGCAACTATCTTTTCCTTGTGTTGTTCATTTCCACGACAATTGTTAAATGGCACCGACTTACTTGAGGGATGGCAACAAGATTTTTCATCGAAAAACCGATTTTATTTTCGACATTGACAATCAATTAGGTAAATGGGCTATGACGTCAATGGTAGTAGTCGCCGAAATGAACGCAGTCACATTCAATCGTATACAGGCCGTACAATTTTGTGGGCCATTTTTCATTTTTCAAATGCGTCAATCGGTTGATGGTAGTGGTGTTGTTATTGTTGCTGCGTTTGTCAATTTGTATCCTTAGCATTTAGCGACAAGGAAATTTGTAGCGAACAAAAGTAAAAGACGAAAAAAACCCTCCTCCCGCTCCAAAACAAAAAACCAACAATATTCATATTGCCGTGGAATATCCGCTTTGGCACGCACACCCCAACCGTTAAGCGGTTTTGCATGTGCACACGACATTTCACATTTTATTATATTGCTCTCTTCGAATGATTTCGCCGCGGTTTTCGGTATATATACGTATGAATGTGATTTTTCGGGCTAAGAAACACAGATACATAGATACATATAGTACGTATATCATTCGTGACCTAGTCTCCAGAGAGACAGTTTTGATTTCATGCCTGCAGTTCAACTGCAATATGCGATGATACACGCTTTTTCTTAAAAACGACATTCCATATTTGCGGAGCAATCATTTCGCCGGGACATGGTTTGTTTTTGTTGACGGGACATTTTATTCGCGGAGACATGATTTCCAGCAAATGAAGAGGAACGAAACAGAGACATAAAGCAAAGCAGAGACATTCAGCGGAGACATAGAGCACCGAATTAAGTTCAATTGTGTGTTTTGCGTGAAAAATGGGTCAATCAACCGAAAAATAAATGGGAAATCATCTCGATATTGGAGAATTCAAAGTAATATGTTGAGAAAATTGAAGACAAAATGTTTTTCATCACGACTAGATTTTCGGCTGTGAGTTCAAATGTTCTTGACTAAAATGTTTTTTTTTATTTAAAACGACCGAAATTCAAGCAATTTATATAATTGAAATTCGAGACCCACTCCAAACAAATTCCATAGCAAATTCCATCAAACAAAGGTTCATCCTTGAACCAACAACAAACTTAAGCGTCGCCATCATTGAAATTGGTTTAGCTCATGAATCATTGATTCAGCTTAAATTCTTTTATAAAGAAAAATTAGAAACATAAATGTTACTTCAGAGAACTATCGGGCAATTCACACGATTCCATTAGAACAATCGAGAATTGTTGCGAATAATTTTTCAATTTAAAGCTTAAATTTTACGTAAATTACTTTGAACTTTACATTTCTCTTATTTTACCACTCTACTCGATTTTTAGTTGTAGTCTGCAACTTGATAACTTTTCCTCCTCATTTATCCTTATCGACAAATGCGGAACAAAAGTTCTATACAAACTACCGAATAGCGAAAGTTTTAAATGAAAAGTTTGAAAATTGATTTCGTGGCGGAATCAATTAACCGTGCCCATAAAACAAACAAATGCCATGGAATGCAAATGAAAATTTGTTTGGAATGTAAACAGTCTATTAGTGCATGGCTCATTAAAGCAAAGCATTTGATCCACGTTACACTTCATTTTCGACAGTTCCACACACGCAAACACCCGTGCAATTTTGCATTGTTCTACCGCAAAACACACACACAACTTTCGTTCGATTGAAATATTGATGTAAAGATTACTTTTGTGTAACCACATTGTTGTATTAATTTATTAGATGAAATATATCCGAACCGGGTATATGTTTAGGGTTGAATGTGGGGTTACGTTTGACCATAGATACAATCATTTTTTCCGTCGAAAATGAGTGAAATTCGGGCGTAGTCCAATTGTGCATGAAATGAATGGAAAGAAAATAGAATGAAATCAATGCTTTTTTTTTTCAATTGAAAACCAAGTCCAAGTCATTCAATTTGTACTTACCTACGCAACCAAATGTACGTACTCCCGTGAACAACAGAAGGCTGCTCACTCAGGCCCGCAAATTAATCAAGGCCAGTTGGCTAACAAATCGTTAGTACAAGTATTATTTTTAAAATGTATTCTTAAGTGATATGGAGTTGGTGCTACTGCTAGTGGTTGCTGCAATTTATTCATCATCCTCAACTTCGGAGATGTGCTCGTAATCACTGTCGATGTTCTGTTCGTTGTGCTGAACCGGTCTCGATAGATTCGGGTGAATGCGGTATCCGAACACCTCACAACGACCTAAAACAGAAATTACACACAAAAATGTGCAATCAAAATAGTTAGAATCATTTCGATTTCATCATTTTACCTTTGTATAGAATGCACTTTGCAGCCACTACGTCACGATGCCAATTGGTTACCTCCTGGTTTATGTGTGACGCATACCACTCCAAGTCACCAGCTTCATTTGAATGACATTTATAGTATTTGCAAAGTTTTGACACCAAACGTGTTTTAGCTGGTCGAGTCGGATTGGCTGCGTTACGTGGCTGATTGTTGTTGACATTCTGTTGCATTCGTTCTTGTTTCTTCTCTCTGCGTTCTTTCTTCAGTTCTCGGTTACTTAATGTGGTCACGATTTTGTTTGGCAATATTTGACCATCATACCCATTCAGCCAGCACTGTCGGCAAACTTTGAACCGATTTCGTTTGGTTCGTGGATCGAAACGTCCAAAGCATTTTGCGCATGTCTGCGATGTGAAGTACTCATCGACGAAACGAACGGTGCAATTGTTCAATTTCTTGAAGCTGGCCAACAATTTTCTTGTGCCGGGGCATCGCAATCGTCTTTTGTTTCCAATCGGTGAGTTCGGTGCCATTTGTGCTGCGCCCAAGTAAATCATTGATGGCTTTTTGTTCGTTAACGATGCGGCAATTTTGTCGCTGGCTCGAGTTGACTCCACGTATTTGTCGAAACTGAGGCGAGCGTACTTGCGCGTTCCAAACACAGCAATTTCCAGTGCCATCATAGTCAACCGATGACAAATGTAGCTCTTCCACGCATCCTTTGACTTTGGCGATGGGACCACTGGATATGACCGAAGGTCGCGTTGCTGTTGCTCCTTGAATGTCCTCTGCCATCGTTCTTCTTTCTGCCTACGCTTTGATCGTTTCGCCCTCCAATGATACGTTGGACCAGCAATCGTGATGTTTTCCTGAAATGAAAAAGCAATGAAATGCCACAGAAATTAGTAATTTGTACATTAGTTTATCTGAAAATGAATGCTCATTTACAATTGCCTTACCTCATCACCAGTTGCAACGGTGCGACGAACGGTTGCGTTCCATGTTCGAACTCCAGGGTCGATTCCAAGCTCATACACGAATCTTCCTTCACGGTACATATCCTCAATTGTCTTCAAATCCTTCGCATCCAGCGTACGGTTCGATTTGATGTACATGAGCGAAACGGAAACGCTATCAGTCATGATCGAGCAATCAAATTTCATTTTTCGGCCGCCGATTTTGTTGATTTTCTTCATGTTGAATACGTGTTTCCACCACTGTGCCGGATTTTTGTTGTAAGTTTCTTTTTCGATACACACTTTTCGGCCACTTTTTCCTATCGCATGCTTCAAAGCACCCAAACCACGAGCAATTTCAAAGAAAAGCGTGACGTCGATGCGAATGTGCTTGAGATCGAAGTCGTGAACGGGAATTGCGATGAAATTCTTAACTTTTGGCGGTCGTGACACAAGTGGCATCTTGTTTGTGACATGATCACTCTTATATTTGGCCCATTCGCTGTTCAGAATGCCGTACGTTGTGTGGAAATAGCTGATGTTTCGCTGAATTTTGATCCACATGCGCAGCGATGCAAACCAGTCTTCGGTAACGAATTCTTTCAAGTTGTGGTTTGCTGGTCCACCGATTCGTACCACTTCGCTCAGCAAAAACTGCATTTTCCGATATCGGTCCGCATTGCCGTGAGTCCAATCGCGCTGATTGACGAGAAACTTTGTTGTGTTCTTCACGTCAGTTTCGTCGAAAATGCCGACATTTGCTGGTTTTCGGTATCGCAACCGGCCGTGATTAAACTCAAAGCATCGCATACGCAAAAAGGCTCGCATTCGTGTAACATACCACATACGTACATTGTTTTTCACATTCGTTTGGTACCCCTCGTATAGGTAGTTGAATGCATTATTCATGCCATTTCGCTCCGGCCATACCAAATTCGGCTGATGCTGCTGAATCATCATGAGGAATTCATCGGGCAGACGAACATGATTGCCATCCACAACACTGAGAAAACATTGACGAATGATCTCATTCCCATTTCCGGCAAAGAATATTTCGTCATTGCTATCCACTGCAGATTCGGCCTGGTACAGGAACAGCGTTGATGCCAGATATGAAATATGCGTGGCTGCATCACACCAATCTTTAATGCGTGCCATGAATCGGTCCCGGTACTCCTCCTTTAACACCTGGTAAAGCGTCATTTTGACCGCTCGTAGCTCGATGTTACTGGCACCCGCATCTCGCCCAATTGTACGTTTTTTTCTCCCCATATCTGCGACACAAAAGGAACTCAAGGAGAATTAGTCGTTATGATTCACAAAAAAGAGCAAATTTCATCATATTATATGTTCACTTTTATAGGCAGGTCGTAATTTGTTCGACATTTAAACAATTGGATTGATTGTTTTCGGAACACAAATCGCAAGCACGGTAAAATGTTAGCCACTTTGTGTACAATCACCACCAAACGAAAAATCAAAATGAGGAAAACTAATTCGATATCATGTATTTTCTACCTAAAAACACTAACTAACTGTTAAATTACTTAATTTGAACAAAAAACGAATAAAACAATCACTGTAAATCGAACAGTATTCACTACAAATGACTTGCCTTTTCAAATACTCAGATCAATGTGAATCAACCGGCCTCCGTTTGACAGCTGAATATGGTTTTGACATAAATACCGTACCGCAACAACTCTACTCATTTCGTTATGAAATTCATGTTTAATCGGTTCCGATATAGAAACTCAATACATTCCCATAACGGAACCAAAGTAAACAAATGCAACACCAAGCCACCGTAAAGAATGAGTCCGTTGTATTGTGTTGTATGAGATGAAATAGAAGTGTTGACTCTGCGTTTTCGTGCGACACAAATCGAAATTCTTGTAAGATGTTTGTTTACAATTCGGTTGACACAGAGTAGTAGTTGGAATGGATGTCATTTCAAACGTTTGAATTTTACAGAAGCTGGGTAGCGTTCCGAATATTCATACAGTTGGTTTACACTGAAATTTCAGTCGATTTTGACGGAAAAAAAGCCTAAAAACGTTACATATTTCAACGTTAAAAATGACTAAATTGCGTTACATGAATGTTTCTTGGGTGGTTATTATATATATATATGGCAAGTTGTTTTCCTCCTCCAGGTATATGTTTGTGCATATGATATGATATTTTTTGTTCCCCTGGCCATATCTTCTTCAAACAATTCAAATTGAAATCCAAACGGTTTTGTTTTGGAAGTAAAATCAATTTACACGAGAATTATGGTTTATTTTGTCTTTATTTTGCAAATGATCAATCTAGAACGAGAAATAATTCAAAGCTGAATTCTTTGATGTTTTGCAATGGTTTCAAGTCAAAATATGAGCAATTTTTTTCAATAGATTTTTATCATCTCGTTTCAAATTGATTTCATTATTTTAAAGTCGATCGTTTGCTTCATCGTTCTAGGAAACACTAAATGAGCTGCATCAAGTGGCACCGCAAGCCAATAATGACACTTTGGAAAAGATAACATCGTTTGGCTATGCAATTCAATCCTCCGCCGAGACGCCACTCACGAAAATTCTGCCCGATTTCCCGTGCGATAACCTTCGATTAATTGCTCGTATCAGTGAGGCAAATCCTTCGGCAACGCCATATCAATTGCTCTATCGGTTGTATCCATTCGACACATTTTTACCAAAAGAGTGCCATGGAAGCTTGTTGTCACTTTTTGATTCGTTGAAAATTGCGATGCCCCAAAATGAAAACAAATCATGGATTCAAAGTTTCAAGCGAACCGATGGTCAAAGGATCGTTTCAGTTGATCGACCAACGCTGTCGAAAGCTTTGCTGGAATCGCCAATTGGATTACAACATCATAAGGGTAAGCAAAACAAATGAATTTTTTTTAAGAATTTAAAAGAAATTTTTCAAAAATTTTCAAAAAATTAAAGAAAAAAAATGATAAAAAATAGAAAGAAAAAAAAACAGAAAAAGCTTAGAAAAAAATGAATCATTCATCTTCAAGAAACTTTGACAGACTTATACAGTATATAGACAACAAATGTTCACCATTTCCCATAACTTCCAGTGACAATCGAATCGAATGGTGAGACTAAGTCGATTAACGTTCCGGGTGGTCATCAAACATCGGGTGTTGAATTTGGACATCACTATGTTGATACGAACTATCAAAATTATTTGCTAAGCGAGATCATTCAAACCTATGCTGTGGGTGATATTTGTTTGATCGGAGCGAAAGGAAGTGGAAAATCGATTTTAATCTCACAAATTGCCCACCTGCTGAACCAACACATTGAACCAATGGTGTTGTATCAAGATATGACCGCGCGGGACTTTTTACAACAGAGGACAACTACGCCAACCGGTGACACTGTGTGGAGAGACTCGCCGCTAATTCGAGCGGCCAAAAATGGTACCATCGCCGTTTTGGACGGTATTCATCGCATTCATAGCAGTACGATTTCAGTGTTGCAGAGGTGGGAAAAATGAAACATTTTGGAAACTTCAACGAAAGAAGTTATGTTTTGTATGTTTGATTTTTTATAGGCTTGTCCATGATCGAGAGGTTCAACTTTACGATGGAACACGATTGATCAAGCATGACTCGTACGATCAATTAATTTCCAATGGGCAGACAGTTGAAGAACTCGCCAAAAATGGCATTTTCCGCATTCATCCGTCATTCCGAATTGTGGCTTTGGCCGAACCACCTTCAGGTAAGATTTAACAGCTAAAGTGTTACATCAAAGAAAATTTTACCTAAAGTTCCCATATAGTTCAATACTTTTTCCATACATCCATTGATCCATCGAAAACAAATCTAATCGAAAAACATTTCTTTTACAGTGGAAACGGGTAAAAATTGGCTGTCTCCCGAAGTACTCAGCCTATTTTTATTCCACGAAGTTCGGAATTTGAGCAAAGAAGAGGAAAAACATATTATTCAATCGATGGTAATGAACATAATTATCATAATGACTAGTATTGCATTTTTTTAGATTTCAATTTGATTTGAACGAGGAAATTCAATTTTTGTTTCAAATCCGAATTTAGTACGGCGATGTCAGTCCATCGATGGAAAAAATTCTGAATCTAGCCGAATTGTTGCGAAAATCCAAAGATCCAATTATTCGAAATTTGTCGACCACCCTTTCGACCAGGCAAGTGCTGCATTCGATTCGCCATTGATTATTATTAGGTATTTACCTAGTATTCTATTATTATTAATGCATCGATTTTAACACCAGGCAATTACTACGAATTGCACACCGAATGTCAGTCTATCCACCAAATGAGTCCCGTGCCTACGAAACGGTTCAACAGGCGTTCTTAGCGAAGTTCTTACCATCTCTACCTCGAGCTGCCCTCGAAAATGCAATCCAGAACGTGTCAATTTCACGACCAAAATCTTCAAAAACGCCAACAACCTCGATCCAAGTGGGGAATGATACACTATCAATAGGTTCTACGTCTACAAAACGATATCAAACCGATGCACACACCAAAGTACCTGACATAGTTTTTTACGATGTGCCGCAACATGTTCAGGTTTGCCAAATTTCTTATTTTTTCACATTTTTCATGCAAAGTTTAATTCCACTAGAATTTTGGATCGAAAAATTGTGAATTTGTTCGAAGAAAAATACAATAACAAATTTTTCCAGTTGTTGGAGCAGTTGCTGCAAGATTTTCTGATTGGAAATCATTTGCTGTTGGTGGGCAATCAAGGTGTCGGGAAGAATAAAGTAGCCGATCGTTTATTGCAGCTGATGAACCGGCCTAGGGAATACATTCAACTGCATCGTGACACAACCGTGCAATCATTAACAATCCAACCATCGGTTGTCGATGGTGTGGTGGTGTACGAAGACTCGCCGCTTGTTAAAGCGGTTCGACTGGGGCATGTTTTGATCGTAGATGAAGCGGACAAAGCACCAACGCACGTCACATGCATTCTAAAGACATTCGTTGAAAATGGAGAAATGATTTTATCGGATGGACGGAAAATATACCCATCCAGTTCAGATCGAACTGAGAACAGGTCAGCTGATGCCATTTACACGCATCCTGATTTCCGGTTGATTGTTCTGGCGAATCGTCCGGGTTTTCCATTCCTGGGAAATGATTTCTTTGCATCGTTGGGTGACCTATTCAGTTGTCACAGCGTTGACAATCCATCAATGGACTCAGAGATTTATCTTCTGCAACAATATGGTCCAAGCGTCGACAAAGGAACGCTAAAGAAATTAGTAAATGCATTCGCTGAACTACGATCGATGGCCGATGTCGGCCAATTGAGTTATCCATACTCAACGCGGGAAGTTGTCAACATTGTGAAACATCTTGAAAAGTATCCGCAGGAAAATTTGGCCGAATTAATTGGAAATGTGCTGGATTTCGATCGATATTCACCGGAAGCATTGGAACAAGTGACCGATGTGCTGCAGAAACATGGCCTGGCTATTGAAAGCTATGCAAAAAATGAATTGGCCGCCATTCGACGGCAAAGAGAAATTCAATTGACGGTGGAAAGAAAGAGTGGCCTATCGGTTTCAGCGCCAAAGCATGGAAAAGAAGACCCAGGTAAGGGGATTCGATCGATCGAATTGATTTGCTCAATGTTTATCGACTGTTTTTGATGTTTTCTTTCTCATTTTATTCATTTTCCAGACAATAAACCACACGTTGGCGGAAACACTTGGGCTGGTGGCACCGGAGGCAGAGACACAGCGGGTTTGGGTGGTAAAGGTGGACCATATCGGTTGGACAAAGGTCACAAAGTACATCAGTTGAGTGATGAAGAGAAAAACGATATTCCAGACCATGTCAAACAAGCAGCTCGTGAAATGAATCGCAGAGCCTTTGCAGACAAACTCAAGGAGATTAAAATGTCTTCGTACGATAACAGCATCTATGAAGCATTCAGTGCACCAGTTCGCAAGCAAGTGCAGCAGTTACGTGTGATTCTAAGCTCACTGCAGGCAAAAAGCAAAGAACGCTTCTGGCAAAAACATCAAACGTCTGGCGAAATTGACGACAACAAATTGATTGAAGGCATTGTTGGTGAACGGAACATCTATCGGAAACGTGGCGAACAAGATCCCGAACCTGGTCAACCACAAGAGAAACCCAAACGACTGAAATTAGTTGTAGATGTGAGCGGCTCGATGTATCGGTGAGTTTGAATATTGAAACAAGAGTTGTAATGAACTAAACTTGCTAATAAATTTGGATAAATTTCTTTCTTTTAGATTCAACGGCTATGATCAACGTCTTGATCGAGAGCTTGAAGCGGTGGTCATGGTCATGGAAGCGTTTGAAGGATTCGAGACACGTGTTCGCTATGATATCGTCGGTCACAGTGGTGAAAGCAAGAATATTATGTTTGTTAATGAAAAGAGCCCGCCAGCCGATTCTAAAATGCGACTCGAAACGATTAAGGTAAATTTAATCAATTTACAATTAGGAACGGTCAAGTTCGATAGGTATACAAAAGTTATTTGATAAAAAAAAATTTATTTAAAAAAATGTCTCCTTCCTTTGAGATGATGCACGCACATTCACAATTTTGCTGGTCTGGCGACAATACGGTAGAGGCAACAAAATTTGCAATCGATTCTCTTTCCAAAGAAGATGCCGACGAGTCGATTGTTATCATTTTAAGCGATGCCAATCTGTCTCGATACAACATCTCACCCAAAGAACTGTCAACAGCGCTGACTTCACAAGAGCCAAAAGTTCAAGCTTATGCCATTTTTATTGGCAGTTTGGCGAACGAAGCACAACTGTAAATATCGTTTTATTAATCTCGTCTTCATATTAACCAGTTCACATGGGCATTAATTGACATCTAATTTACAGAATAACACGCTCTTTGCCAGCTGGACGAGGGTTCGTTTGCATGGACTTGGCTGAATTGCCAGTGATTTTGAAACAAATTTTCACATCATCCGTGCTCAATCAAACTGTTTGAAATTCGTTTAAAAAATAATAACAAATTTGATGTACATTTTGTCGGGAAAAAATATTCGAATAAATTTTATTTATTTCTTTTTTGCATTCATTTTATTTGAAATAATTCTGAGAATTATCATTGCTTGTTCTGATGATCCAGCGCTACAGGATTAGGTAAAATAATATTGAGGTTATTAGTCGGGAAATTTGGCAATGTCAAATTGCTACAGATGGGCGGACTATCTGATTAAGATTAATTAATCTTAATCAAACACCTAAAATTCGCGATGATTAATACGACCACTTAAGCACTTAATCGCTATTAATCATGATTAAGTGATTGTGCAAGAGATTAATTAATCATATCGGAAAAAAAATCGAAGAAAAAGTTTCATACAAAAAACATGTCAATTTTGGCCAGACCTAACAAATGTTGAACAAAAATGGGTCTGGCAAAAATCGACATGTTTTTTGTATGAAACTTTTTCTTCGATTTTTTTTCGATATGATTAATTAATCTCTTGCACAATCACTTAATCATGATTAAT